AAAAAAAAAAAAAAAAAGAGTGGGAGACACCTGAGATTGTTCTTTGTCCCTGCACACACCCACAGAAGAAAGGCATGTGAGGACACAGCAAGATGGTAGCTGTCTACAAGCCAGGAAGAGAAGCCTCACCAGAAACCACCCATGACAGCACCTTGATCTTGGACTTCCAGCTTCCAGAACTGTGTGGAAAAATAAATTCTTGTTATTTAAGCTACCAACTCTGGTATTTTTGTTATGGCAGCCAGAGCAGACATATACGTGCCTGCAATCATTATTTGGGTTGAGGAGAGTTTTGTAAGTGTCAACTACTGCAATGATTTGGAAGGCAAACAGCCCCATTGTGTTAAAAACTGCTAAGGCTGGCCGGGCAAGGTGGCTCACACCTGTAATCCTAGCCCTTAGAGGCCAAGGCAGGTGGATTGCCTAGCTAACAGGTTCGAAACCAGCCTGAGCTAGAGTGAGACCCTGTCCCTAAAAATAGCTGGGTGTTGTGGTGGGCACCTATAGTCCCAGCTATTTGGGAGGTTGAGGCAAGAGAATGGCTTGAGCCCAAGAGTTTGAGGTTGCTGTAAGCTATGATGCCATAGCACTCTGCTGAGGGTGACAAGTGAGACTCTGTCTCAAACAACAACAACAACAACAACTGGCGCCTATAGCTCAGTGGGTAGGGCACTGGTCACATACACTGAGGCTGGCGGGCTCGAACTCAGCCCAGGCCAGCTAAAACAACAATGCCAACTGCAACAACAACAACAAATAGCTGGGCATTGTAGTGGTGCCTGTAGTCCCAGCTACTTGGGAGGCTGAGGCAAGAGAATCGCTTGAGCCTAAGAGAGTTTGAGGTTGCTGTGAGCTGTGACACGCTGGTACTCTACCCAGGGTGACATAGTGCGACTCTGTCTCAAAAGAAACAAAAAAGGCTCGGCGCCTATGGTGAGCTGTAATGCCACGGCACTCTACCCAGGGGGACAGCTTGAGGCTCTGTCTCAAAAAAAAAAAGAAAAAAAAAACAAAAAACCACTAAGGCTCAAGAGACAATACAAAGCACTAACACATTTGTGTTCCTTGAAACTTTAATTTCATGCATGATGACTTTTTCCTAAAGAATTGATGAAAACAAGGGAAAAGCTACAACAAAAGCTGAAATCCTTTATGGATCTAGGTGGGATATTAAAATATACACAAGTTACTACTGAAATCTTTGCATGAATTTAAATACCCAATTATAGAGGTAATATGACTTAAATTTTGGTACAGGCAGTCAAAGGAATAGTTACAAAGGCTTTAATGATAATTAAGACAAGCAAAATGGAAGAATAATTTCCAAGTGTAATTCAAGAAGTAGAATACAAATATTCTACTATAATTGTGTAAAATGTGGTGCACACCATCAAATCCCAGTAGATAAAGTGTAAAATGAAAATAGTGGTTGTATTAGGGTCATGAGATCAGGGGTTGGAGCTGTCCCTCACTCCTGAGACCAGAAAGATTTAGGCAAGCAAGGCTTTACTGGGGCTTTTGCTAAAACAAAAAAGAGGTGGTGCTGGTTAAGGGGGCAACTCCTCAAGAATAGATTACCCTGTACATTTCCCAAATCTTGCAGAACATAAGGTTCTTATTTTTTTTGAGACAGAGCATTAAGCTATCCCCCCTGGGTAGAGTGCTATGGCATCAGAGCTCACAGCAACCTCCAACTCCTGGGCTCAAGTGAGTCTCCTGACTCAGCCTCCCAAGTAGCTGGGACTACAGGCGCCCGCCACAACGCCTGGCCATTTTTTTGGTTGCAGCCATCATTGTTGTTTGGCGGGCCCGAGCTGGGGATTCGAACCCACCACCTTAGGTGTATGTGGCTTGCGCCTTAGCCGCTTGAGCCATAGGCGCCGAGCCAAGAACATAAGGTTCTAACATTGCTCATGAGATGGAGGCAGAACAAAGGAAAAAAATCTTTCTTTTTTTGTAAAATAGCAAACACTGCATTTCTAATACCTGTGAGTCCTACAGAGAAATTTATACCAAGAACAGAGCAGCAAAAGCCACCTGTGAGACTGTGAGAATCCATGGAAGCAGGTTTACTCTTTAAATTTTCCCATACAAAGCTTTTCAATCACATTGTTTATACACATTAATTTATTACAAAATAATGTAGGGTGGCGGGTTCGAATTCAGCCCAGGCTCACCAAACAACAATGATGGCTGCAACCAAAAAATAGCTGGGCGTTGTGGCAGGCACCTGTGGTCCCAGCTACTTGGGAGGCTGAGGCAGGAGACTCGCTTAAGCCCAGGAGTTGGAGGTTGCTGTGAGCTGTGATGCACAGCACTCTACCCAGGGGGACAGCTTGAAGCTCTGTCTAAAATAATAATAATAACAATAATGTAGGAATAACTAATTTAAAATCTGTGTATGGTACATTAATTCTTTGTTATATGGAATTCAAATCTGTGAGACTGGCTACCATGTACTCTGATCAAACAATTTACACACAAATCAGAAAGCTTTGTACTGAAACAGTATCCATGGTGATTCCCTAAAGATGCCACATTGTGGCTTGGGAATATTAGAGTCAACTGTACCTTTCATAAGCACTTTCCCTCCTAAGAATGTAAAGTGCAATAATAGCAAATTCTGACCTCATTTGGTTCTTTTATATGAAAGGCATTTGTTTGGTTTCTCACCACTTTGAGTATCTCTGATTTGGAATATGGTGAATCCCGGGACAGAAGCCATCCCCAGATCCAGTGTATTTGTTCCATTTCTTTTGTAGGTTCTATCATGTAGCACTGATGGGCACTCATGGATGAAGGTTCTGAATGTTGGTTATCTCCATGTTTCCCTACTGTTTGGACCTGGGGATGAATGACCCAGAACTCAGTGGTCCCATGGTCATTTCTGTCAGTGCAAACTCTGAGGGTGCCTGAGGAGTGTGTTGTATACAAAGGCTTATGTATAAATACATATTGTTTCTTGTGAGCATGAATGGGTCAAGTCTAGAAAAGGATGAGCTATGGCTTAAGGTTTCCCTACATCCCCAGCACAGGTGGAGTGGAGTCTACCCAGTGTGAGTTCTCTGGTGCTTAGTAAGAGAGGAGCTGTGTGTAAAGGCCTTCCCACAGTTCCTGCATGCATATGGCTTCTCTCCTGTGTGGATCCTCCGGTGCTGAGTGAGGTGGGTGCTCTGCCTGAAGGACTTACCGCAATCCTGGCATTCATAGGGCTTCTCCCCAGTATGTGTCCTTTCATGCTGGCTGAGTGAGGAGCTGTGACTAAAGGATTTCCCGCACTCTTTGCACCCATAGGGCTTTTCCTTGGTGTGAATCCTCTGATGTTCAATGAGAAGGGAGCTCTGACTGAAGGCTCTGCCGCACTCATTACATTCATAGGGCTTCTCCCCCGTGTGGATCCTCTGGTGCTGAATGAGGGGAGCGAGTTGGCTGAAGGCTCTACCACACTCATTACATTCATAGGGCTTTTCCCCCGTGTGGATCCGCTGATGTTTGGTTAGGGATGAGCTATGGCTGAAGGCCTTGCCACAGTCACTGCACTCATAGGGTTTCTCCCCTGTGTGGATCCTTTGATGCTGAGTGAGGTGTGTGCTTTGCCGGAATGCCTTCCCACACTGATGGCACTCATAAGGCTTCTCGCCTGTGTGGGTCCGTTCATGCTGGCTGAGTGAGGAGCTATGGCTGAAGGTTTTCCCACATTCGTTGCATCCATAGGGCTTCTCACCTGTGTGAATCCTCTGGTGCTCAGTCAGAAGTGTGCTCTGGCTGAATGCCTTCCCACACTCACTGCACTCATAGGGTTTCTCCCCCGTGTGGGTCCTCTGATGCTGAATCAGTGGTGTGATCTGGGTGAATGCTTTTCCACACTCATGGCACTCATAGGGCTTCTCCCCACTATGAATTCGCTGGTGTTTGGTCAAGGATGAACTGTGGCTGAAGGCCTTGCCACACTCTCCACACTGATAGGGTTTCTCCCCAGTGTGGATTCGCAGGTGTTGGGTGAGGTGGATACTTTGACGGAAGGCTTTTCCACATTCGCTGCACTCATAGGGCTTCTCACCTGTGTGAGTCCGCTCGTGTTGGCTGAAGGAGGATCTAAAACTGAAAGATTTTCCACATTCACTGCACTCATACGGCTTCTCGCCCGTGTGAGTTCTCTGATGCTGGATCAGTGGGGCAATCTGGTTAAAGGTTCTTCCACACTGAGTGCATTTGTAGGGTTTCTCCCCAGTATGGATTCTCTGGTGTTTGGTAAGTGCTGAGCTGTTTCGGAAGCCTTTTCCACATTCATGACATTCATAAGGTCTCTCTCCTGTGTGTGTTCGGTGGTGTTCAACAAGTGCTGAGCTGTGACTAAAGGCTTTTCCACATTCCTGACATTTGTAAGGTTTCTCTTTTGTGCAGGTTTTCTGTTTAGTATTCAAGTTTGAGTCTGGCTTCTCCATCTTTCTGTCTGTTCTCCACACATGCATGTTGTGTCTTTCTGGAGTCATTGGTTGAATTGAGAAATCAGGGTTAACACTCAAGTCTTCCTCAAACCCATTTCCCTGCCACTGCTACTGTGTTGGTGTCTCCCTAGGTATGATAGCTGCCTGTGCCACGCAGCTCTCTAGGCACTCACACTGACACTCCCAGCAGCACTGGGTGTCCTTACCTTGCAGTACCACAGACCATCCTACAGGAATCTTTCTATCAGGATGATACGGGTGGACATTTCTTCAAAGATGCCTTGCTTTGGAGCTGACAGTTTGAATTTGGGTCTAACTTCCAAGTCTAAAAGAAAGAAAAATGGAAATGTCTCTTAATAATCCTTGTTCTGGAGGAAAATAGTTGTGGTGAGTGAAGAGACCATGATTTTGAAAGGTTCAAGGTACAGTAGCTATGACCATTTAAAAATGCAGTTTTGTGGCTGGGCTCAGTGGCTTATGCCTACAATCCTAGCACATTGGATTGTAAAGGCAAGGTGGAAAGATTATTTGAGCTCAGGAGTTCAAGACCAGGCTATGCAACATAGGAAGACCCTATCTCTACAAAAATCAGAAAAGTTGGCTCGGTGCCCATAGCTCAGTGAGTAGGGCACTGGCCACATACACCGAAGCTGGCAGGTTCAAGCCTGGCCTGGGTCTGCTAAACAACTGCAACCAAAAAATAGCTGGGCATTGTGGCGGGCACCTGTAGTCCCAGCTACTCGGGATGCTGAGGCAAGAGAATCGCTTAAGCCCAAGAGACTGAGGTTCTGTGAACTCTGACACCATGGCACTCTACATATGTCATATAGGGTGACATAGTGAGATTCTGCCTCAAAAATAAAATTGGAAAAGTTAGCTGGGTATGGTGATATATGCCTGTAGTCCCAGCTACCCAGGAAGCTGAGGCAGGAAGATCACCTGACCCCAGGATTTTGACATTGCAGTAAGCTATGATGGTGCCATGGCACTCTAGCCAGGCAGATAGAACAATATCCTGTCTCCAAAAAGAAAACTGCAGTTTTGCAAACCAGGTCAGAAACAGGAAAGAGGAAAAACAAACTAAAAATGGGGGGCAGGCATAAGGGTCATGGACAGAAATCTGCAAAGGGAGAACAGAGAAGGGTGGGAGAGGGTACTAAGGAATGCACTCAGATTAACAGAAACTTAACAGCTTAAAGCAAAGCTAATTATCTTACAGTTCTAGAGATTAGAAGTTCAAATAGGTCTCACTGGGCTATAATAAAGATGTCAGTTGTTCCTTCTGGAGGCTCTAGGAAAAAATCCATTTCTTTGCATTTTCTACCTTCCGGGCTGCCCGTGTTCCTTGCCTTAGGGCATTGATTTTCAACCTGTGTGTCAGGGCAGACTGGTGTGCCTTGAGAGGATCTTATGAGAGATCCTCTGAGCTAGCCACTGGGCAATAGGCGCTAAGTCAACTTTACCTTTTTTTTTTTTTTAACGTTTCACTGAAACGTAACATAATATGGGGAAGATACCCATGTCATAGTGCTAGGTAACAGGTGGGGACAGCAGGCACAGCAGCCACACTGTGCAGAGAGGGCTGGGTACCACAGCAGTCCTGCCAGGAAGAAGGAAGGGGAGGGAATGCATGTGTTGGTTCATAGAGTATGCTGTGGACTCCGTAGTAACTAAAGGGGACAAAAGCTCCTGCCCTCAGGGGGATCCTAGTTAGTGAGGCAGACAAAATTAGGCAGATCAAAGTACTCTGACCAGCTTTGTTAACAAAATTTTACAACTCTCAAGTGTCTTAGCTTCCTCATATTCCAAAGGAGTGTTCAGTGTTCACATCAGAACTGAAGCACGCAGCTAAGTGACCTTGCCTTGAAAGGGATGAAACAGTGAGTGTTATCTCACCTCCAGTGGGCTAGCAACAGCAGTCTTAGAAAAAGCAGAGAAGAGACAAGAGAGGTCTCAGTACAAATTGCTAAACAGAACTTTGTAACTTTCTGTACACAGATGCAATTCTTTTGAGTTTTCCCCAAGAACAGAACCTCCTTATAAGCCTGAGATAACTACAGCGCATTACTCTACTAGATTGTCCAGAGAAAGACAGATAAGTGATACACCACTACAGACTGTGTTCAAAAGCCACTGAGCCAGCGCCTAAGACTAAAAGAATGAACAAGCTGTGAGAAGACACACATACTCACCCGGCCCAGCTAGGCCAAGGGGTCATCACCTGCTGTGGTTTCTTGAAGGGACATCAGCCTTGATTCTGGTGGGAAAGTGCATATAGAAGGCTGATGTGGTAGGCCTCGCTGTAGCCCATAGGCACCAGATCAGGTATCTTCCTGCGATGTGACAGGTGGGGACTGAAGGACATAAGTACAGGATGCATCGCCTGGTTGCATAAATGGTTTCCAGTGTGCCTCAATTTCCCTCTTCCATATAACAGGATAGTAGTCCGCACCGGTGTGAGCATGTGCTCTTGGGTGCGCGACTTTCGGGGGGGAGGGAGGGTATGCCTCAGTTAGCTACTCAGCAGAGCAGGCCCCAGGCCCTTGAGGCACCCAACACCCAGCGTCCGCGCTGTAGCCATGAGAGGCGGGGCCTGTACCCGGAGAAGGAAAATTCCACCCCCCGCCGCCAATGCGAAGACCAGGCTCCGCCCCTCTATCCCCCCCGGACGACCCTCTTCCTCGGACCCAGAACACCACAGCACCGGGCCCCGCCCACTCGGCCTCGGCTCCGCCCCCACGATCTGCCCCAGGCCGGGAGCCACTAAAGAGTTCCACACGGACGCGCGCGGGTGGGCCTCTGGGGCCCAGGGGAAGATCTCAGGCCCCACGCGCGGCCGGGCCTCCCCGCCCAGCCTCTCCCGGCCTCACTCACCCGCCCCACGGAGACAAAGGCCGCTGCACCTTTATCTGCCACTGCGCCTGCGCTCTACTGCATCTCCCAGAGGGCTGCGCGCGCACTTCCGGCTTGGCCCTCAGCTGGGTCTCTGTAGCTATCGGAGTTTGCTGCGGTCCTGTGGGAGGCGCTTGTGAACGCCGTCCGGTGCTCGGGACGGTGACTGGGACTGCGGGCCCTGGGCGGTGCTGGGGAGGGTGGGGGACCTGGTCTCCCTGGCCGGTAGCGGCCGGTGTGGCCGGCTTGGGCAGGAACCCGGAGCGCTCTGAACCTCCGGGACAGCCACAGGCCGTGCTCACGTCGGACCTGCATTGTAAACTTTATTGTAAAACAGAGCAGCGATTTAAAAAGCACAAATTAAAAACAATTGTCACCAAGATCCCGAACACAAGAACGGTCTACGTTTTGCCACACCGACACAGCCATGGTTTTATAAGAAACATCACGTGCAAGACACTTTAACACTTAAGACTACACATTGCTGAATAATTATCGAAATTGTGCATTTGAACAGCAGTATAATATGCAAAGTTGCTGTGCCCTCACAAACTGAACTCATTTTCTGAACATTCCCTAAAGCCTGCTAGGTGTAGACCCAGGGTACGGCAGCAAACAGTAGGTGAGGCCAATGCGTTCACGTCCCCATTTGTGGTGGGATTTCCTTCACCAGCGTACAACAGACAACCATGATGTAGTGAGTGGAGAGGATACAAGAAAACCAAGACTGAACCTTGCACTTTTGCGCTTTTAAGAGGATTGATTGATGCCAATCAGTCAAGGCTTGCCAGCTAAGAAAGTTCCAAGACAATGGTGCTTTTTCTTTAACTGAAACAGCTCTGACACTGAAAACAGCAGAGAAGAGGATAAAAATTCTTGTTTCAGAAAAGAAGCCTAGCTGGTTATATTTTCTTGGCATACGAAGATACTTGAAAAGATTTGGCTGGTTCACACGTGAATTAAGACTTTAAACTTCATAATTCTGAAAATAGTGGTTCTTATGAAACGATATGATAGCTGCAACTCATAATGCACTGATGTAAACAAAGGCAAGCTTATTGGCTTTTCTTTAAAGGTGTCATATATAGTCAAGTCCGTAAAATCCCACATTTGTGATTGTCATACTGAATGCCAGCCTGCTGTTCACTCTACTGCACTAAAAAGGCATTAAAATATACATAAAATGACATTTTTCAGATCCCTCACCCACAAACCCAAGTGCAACTAAACATTTCATTTTTTTCTGTTAATATTTTCTTCCATAAAATGTGTACTCTTTTGTCTTTTCTGTAACTTTCTTTTACTTGATCAAAAGGCATGAATATACAACTCATGATGCAATCTTTTTCCCAAAAGGTCTAAGCAGCTGTTGGTGGTGCCACACTGGACTTGCTGAAGATACAGCCCTTATATGTAGCCAGGGGACCCTGTCCAGGTCCAACCACTGGCTGGACCTTTCTCAGCTTATTCTCAGTTTCCTTGTAGCTCTGTCTGCTTTGTGCCTCCCTTTGTCTCTTTCTGGCCATGACAGGGTCCTCCACCATGAGCAGTTGCACTGCAAATCAGTGTAGCTTCCAGACAATTCTATTGTCACAGCATGCATAACAGAACTGTGTCACACTGCATTTTTGTGTTAAGAAAGTTAATTTGTTCAACATATACATTTAAAATATGATGTAGTAGTTCCAGTTTCATGGACATAATTTTTTCCTTTTTTTTTTTTAATCTTTTTTTTTTTTTTTTTGAGACAGAGCCTCAAGCTGTCCCCCTGGGTAGAGTGCCGTGGCATTACAGCTCACAGCAACCTCCAACTCCTGGGCTCAAGTGAGTCTCCTGCCTCAGCCTCCCAAGTAGCTGGGACTACAGGCGCCCGCCGCAACGCCTGGCTATTTTTTGGTTGCAACCGTCATTGTTGTTTGGCGGGTCGGGCTGGGGATTTGAACCCGCCACCTTAAGTGTACGTGGCTGGCGCCTTAGCTGGTTGAGCTATAGGCGCCGTAAATCATTTGAAAGTTGCAGAACCTAGCAGTGCCCAGCCCCTCTCTCACTCTAGAGACCCTGGCTGGGAGGGCCTGCAAGACTCTGGTCCTCCAGATTATGAGTTTCCAGAACCAGGCCAGCAGCTGTTCTGTGACAGCAGCTGCAAGGCAGACAAGGAGACTGGGAGCATGGTGAGAGGGGCATGGGGCCTTTGGGGGGATGCTGACTGAGGAAGGCACCAGGCATGCAGAAGTGGCTGGACTACCACAAGTAGGGTGAACCAGGTAGGGGTGGAGGGGTTGAGGATGCCAGTCTCCCCCACCTTAGCACAGAGAGAGCTGAGAGGGATGCAATAAAACTGGTCTGCAGGGATTTATATCTTCAATGTCTGGATTTTAGAAGTACCCAGATAGCTGCAGGCTACCAGGGATAGGATGGTGGGGAAACAGACTAAAGGCACAGTTTACTCAGAGGAAGCTGCAGACATCCAAGAAAAGGGGAGAAAGCCTGGGACATGGTGTTGCAGAGGAGAAAAAAGAACTGCAGGGGTCGGGTGGTGAATTCCCAGGGCACATTATTTTTGTCCAGGGTGTCATCAAAAATCCTCTGGAGCCTTGGAAGGTGGTGGTCCCTCTGGTGAGAGTGGGAATCCTAGAGAGAAGGCATTTGGGTGGGGTTTTGTTTGTTTTGCACAATGGGAAGATGAGTTCTTTGGACAAGCTGGACTGGAGGACTGAGGGACTCTAGGCAATGTCCATGGAAGGTAGATGGTCTGAAGAAGCCTGTGCTAGGGTCTCAGGGCCCACTGCAGAGGAGAGGCCAGCCCAATGTTGTACCCTCCTTGTGCAATCTTGGCACCAAGATTGTGTTCACACCAGAGCTGTGAACCTGCCTCCAGTGTAGGGGGACTGGAATGGAAAACGTATGGAGTGAGCCCCTGGCCCCCAACAAGTGGGGCCTCCACAGTGTCTGCTTACCCTGTGGTTCTGTGGCTCACAGACGCTGTATCTGAGGGAAGGCATGGGAGCTTCAGGGGTGATGAGCTGCCTGTGGGGCTGAGACCCCACCTTCCAACCTAAGACCCAAGGGAGAAGTTCTTCTGTAGGGTGAAAGAGGTATCCAGGAGGGCAGCTGGAGCCCACCAGTGATTAAAGCATGGGATAGAGCCAGAAGTTCCCAGGGACACCTGCAGCGACAAGCTGGAGATGCTAGAGGGAGCTGAGAAGCCAGGTCTGGAGGCCAGCCAGGGAGAGAGCTGGGAAGGCAGGCATAAAAAAGCAAGATGGAGTGAGAGGCATTGAGGGATGAGGTGAAGGCGTTGGAGGGTCAGGCAGGACCTCTGGGGACAGAGGCCACAAGGGGGCAGTTTGGCCAAGAAGCAGCAGCAGGTGAGGGTAGGATATGTTCAAAAACTTTTCAAGTTGAAAGGCCACTTGAAGAATGTCTCTGCTGGCAAGGTTGAAACCCAGCTTAACCCAACACTGTTTCCGACTAAAGTTGGAAGGAAAAAGACAAAAACATCAAGGCTTTCTTTTGAAAGGGGACAAGTGGAGAGGCACCATGGGTTGGGAGTGGAAAGAAGAGCCACAAACACCAGCTGTTTGCTCTCTGCTCTGCCAGCCAAGGGAAGTGGCACCACTCTTGGGAGATATTGGTTCTCCAAGGCAGACCAGAAAGCCCGATTTTTAAGGTTTTAAAAAATGTGTTGGCATCTTGAAAAAAAAAAAAATGTCCTTCTGTGAGTCAAAACATGTGTGGGTCAGTTTGGATTAGACCTAAACATCCTGGCAAAAACCCTGGGAGATAGGAAGGGGATTAGTAGCTGTCAGAGCTGGAGGACAGGGCTGGGTGAGTATCGAGGCTGTGGAGCCTAGGGTGACAGAAGGTCTGCAGCTGGCTGGTGCTGGTGGCTGCAGTGTTGTAAATATACTGAATGCCTCTAAATTGTGCAACTTCAGATAACTAAAATGGCAAATTTTCTGTTACATACCTTTTTTCAAAAAAGTAGGGGGGAATAACCCTGTTTACTAGTTAGGTTCTAAGGGAGCTGAGCTGGCTGGAGGGCAACAGGGGTCAGGACCCCTCTCTGGCCTCTGGGATGTCAACAGTGAAATGAAAACTGGCAGCGGGTCTCCACCAGGGCACAGGGAAATGTGGTCCAGTTGGGAAAAGGCTTCTGAAATATGACACTTTAATAAAGTTCCTCTTAGGCTTGGCACCTATAGCTCAGTGACTAGGGTGCCAGCCACATACACCAGAACTAGCAGATTTGACCCCAGCCCAGGCCTGCTGAACAATGACAACTATAACCAAAAAATAGCTGGGCATTGTGGTGGGTGCCTGTAGTCCCAGCTATTTGGGAGGCTGAGGCAAGAGAATCACTTAAGCCCAAGAGTTTGAGGTTGCTGTGAGCTGTGGCACAGCATTCTACTGGGGGTGACATAGTAAGACTCTGTCTAAAATAAATAAAATTAAGTTCCTCTTAGAGCTGATCACAAAACATGTTGTACAGGATCAAGGGATGAACTGAGCAGATGCTGCAGACCTGGGGCCTTGGGGCTGAGGCCAGGAAGCCTCCTTCTCTGGCTTCTCTAGGATCTTCTGGGGTACTTGGGCCTGACGGTCATTCACTATCATCAGCCTTGTCAGCCTTGTGGAGCTTCTGGTGGTCAGCTAGATGGAGCATCTAGGGGAAGGCCTTACTGCAGAAATGGTACTGTATGGCCCAACTCTCAGTCAGGGCGGGCTGTTGGGGGCCCAGAATCTGGGGGTTGTTCTTCCTGGGTAGTAGAGCTGATGGATTTTGCAGTGCTCCTCCAGTACGGAGCTATACAAGAAGGTCTTTCCTCCTCGTGGTTCTTCTGGTGCTGCATGAGGTGGGCCGGGGAAGTGAAGACCTCCCTACAGTGGGCACACTTGAAAGGGCTGCCTCTGCAGGGTGCTTGGGGCACTCCTGAGACCCCTGAAGCCACATTGGGGCTTCCTCTGGTATGTTTGAGAGACAATGGGTGGTGGCCACTGTGCTCAGGGTCCCCGTACCTCTTTTGGGGACTTTTGCTCCAAGCACTCCATGCCTGCTGGTCCTGCTGGTCAGAGGAGGGCCCCAGAAAGTCCTTGGGTTTGTCCCTGATACCGGCTTTAAAGGCAGGTAAGCCCAGAAGCCTGGGAGAGGAGGGAGATGGTCATGTGGCAATGAGGCTGGGCTGGGCTTCTCCCTGGACCTGGAGGGGCATGGAGGGCCCCACTTACTGAGCCAAGTCCCTGCCCTTTTCCTGCTCAGCACAGACCTGCACCCCTGTCTTGTCCTTCTTTAAGATAAATGGACACTTGTTAATGGGGTGCACCCCACAGCCCAGTCCCCTCGCCCTCGCCCTGCTGGCCCTCTGGGTGACCCTTAGCCTGTCTGCTTCAGTCAGCCTGTTCAAACTGGGAGACTGTGATCTTGGCCATGAGGTAGAAAGCTGAGGATGGCTTTCCTAGGAGACCCCAGATCGTTGTGCCTGTAGTCGGTATGCACCATTTCTAGAGCTATGTGGAGCCTCCACTGAAGTCTTTACCCATGAGCATAGTTCATGGCTTTGAGGTTGAGTGGGGGAACCCTTGGCCAGGCCCAAACTCCATTTCCAGACCTTCGAATGGCTGCAAGAACTGGCACTTACCCCAAGAGCCAGGAGCAGATGGTGGACTTGTTGGGCAATGGGCCGGCTCTGAGGCCGCTGCTGCATCCAGGATCCATTTAGACACCTACAATGCAAACACAAGCCTGCTTGCAGCTGCCCCTTGGAAGTTGCCCTCTGCCTAAGGAGGGGATTGCTGTTGAAGCACAGTCGCAAGGGGCTGTCATTAGGTATGAGACATAACTTGAGGAGCCTCTGTGCAAAATAGAAGCTCAAAGTCTCTTGTTCGAAAATTATCAACAATTCCAAGACTGTGGCAGCAGAGTATTAAATGTAGTCCAGGGTCCTCTGCCATAGTTCAGGTCACTGTTTTACCCCTGGGGCTCCAAACCGCAGTCTCCCAAGGTTACTTACTATCCCTGCCCACAAGCCACAAGAGAGTTGGCAATGCGTCCTGCCCAGGCTCTGGCCCCTAAGACCACTCCCTATGACCTGAACCTGGTAGAGGATCATTTCCTCTCTGTCTCAGGGGCTCAGATGAGGACCTAAGAGCAAAGTGCTCAGTATGCCTGCTCACTGACACCTCTAGATTGTCCAGCATTCTTCTGACAGAGGAAAAACACAATGACACTTGTCAACATAAATCGAGCCTGTTAGAAGCACCTGTCAGATCAAGGAGCATAAGAAGCAACTGTTAGGAGCAGCTCTCCCTGCTTCTGCTGCCCCTACCCTGCCTGGAGGCCTAAACCTTTTAAGGAAGGACTGGTTGGGCCAGAGAGGCTGCCCCAAATCCCACAAACTGACAGGATCCAGGGCAGGGGGACTGCAGAGCCACCAGGAGGGAGGGAGGGAGGGAGCCAGGTTGCACTAGTAGAAGGAAGTACAAGATTCTTCTCACTCTCAGGCTGGTAATGTGAGAGTGGTTTATTTGGTTGGATTACTGGTTTTTATTTCTTACCAAATGCTAGTTTTTTTGTTTGTTTGTTTGGGGGATTTTTTGTTGCAGTTGTCACTGCTGTTTTAGCTGGCCAGGGCCGGGTTTGAACCCGCCACCCTCAGTACATGGGGCAGCACCATACCCACTGAGCCACAGGCACCACTGCCCCCCACCCCAAATGCTAGTTTTGATTGTACAACAAACATTCATTGAAATCTAAAGCAGTCCACCAAAGGACCCATCATCTGCAGGGGCAAAGGCAGGGCTCCTTTCTGCTTTCTCCCCGTTACTGGTGGCAGGGAACTCAATTGGCAGTGTCTGGCTTTCCTCTGTCTCACTCAGGTGCCTGTGACTGTAATTAGGGCAGCCGGATCTTTGTGGAGAGAAGAGTAGGGTTGTGTGTGGGCAGAGGCAGCATTTTTAATCTCCCTAACGCCGAAGCAAGGGCCACATTCAAGAGGCATGTGAGGAGCAATCGGAGCGCTTGGTCTGGGCACAGAAACCAAGACATCCAGCTCTGTCTGAACTCCAGATGCAAAAACATCCCCACAACCCCAGTCAGCCACCAGCCTCTGATCTAGATTCTGATCATTCCAGGAATAGCACAGGCAGTGAGTGGGACCAGGGACCCAAACTTGTGTATTGGGCTGAGAGGTGGGAAGGTAGGAGGAGGAGGGAGATACCTTCAGAGCAGCTACACCTGGGAGGGTCCTGATGCAAACTAACCAGGAAAAAGAAAACAAGAATAAGGAGAAACTGAACCCTTGGCTATTCACTGATGTTGAGGGATTATTTTATTATTATTATTATTATTATTATTTGAGACAGAATCTCCCTCTGCCACACTGGGTAGAGTGCTATGGCATCATAGCTCATAGCAACTTCAAACTCCTAGGCTCAAGCAATCCTCCTGCATCAGCCTCCCAAGTAGCTGGGACTATGGGTGCCAGCCCCAAGGCCCAGCTATTTTTTCTATTTTTAGTAGAGGCGAGGGTCTTGCTCTTGATCAGACTGGTCTCAGACTCCTGAGCCTAAGCGGTCCACCTGTCTCAGCTTCCCAGAATACTGGGATTACAGGCAGGAGCCACTATGCCGGGCCTTGAGACATTATTTTCATGGTTTGGGTTTAGGCAGTGGTACTGGGTTATTTTGAAAAAATTAAAAAAAAAAAAAGAAGAAGGAAAGAGTGGGCGGCACGGTGTCACTGAAATAGTGGAGTAGGGGACACCAGCATTTATTCCCCTCCCCAACAAAAAGTCAAATACAACCAGGCCAGTGGCTCACGCCTGTAATCCTAGCACTTGGGAGGCTGAGGAGGGTGGATTGCCTAAGCTCACAGGTTTGAGACCAGCCTGAGCCATCTCTAAAAAATAGCTGGGTGTTGTGGCAGGTGCCTATAGTCCCAGCTACTTGAGAGGCTGAGACAAGAGAATCACTTGAGCCTAAGAGTTTGAGTTTGCTGTGAGCTATGATGTCACAGCACTCTACCGAGGGCGACAAAGTGAGACTCTGTCTCAAAAAAAAAAAAAGTGAATTATAGACAACTACTTATAAACTAAAATAGCCCAAGAACCCATTAAAAATTTGGAGTAACACGGTGGAGGAAAAAAAGATGCAGAATATCCACACAGAAGGGATCACTGGTAGGTACCTCTGAGATGCTAGGAGAGAGCCAGGGACAGAGAAGAAAAGTGGCTACTGTCAGGTATCAGCCCCAGGCGGGACCACCAGGGACCGCAGCCCTCTGCTCCCCCCAGGACACCAATATCACTTGGCACCCAGGGCCACCAGGACCTCAGGAAGCTAAACCCCGGGCTCTCAGAGCACTAGGACCTTTGGGCACCTGCCCCTCAGGGTAACCAGTGTTCCAACCCACAGCAGACTGCATGTAGAACAGTGGTCCCATGAGACTGTAATGGAGTTCTTCTGCCACCATTTGAAATTGGGGCCACACAAAGACGTGACGCAGTCGAACTGGCAGCACCAGCAGCCCCTGTAGGGGACTGACACTCATGCAATGTGGAAGAGTTGGCAGAGGGATCCAGGACAAAAGAGCCCACGAGAGGATGATGGTACAGAGGATGATGGTACAGCATCTGTGGGGAGCCCTGACCTGGATACAAGCAAGAAAGATCTGACCTGACCATTGTCATCTGGGGAGTTATAGACCCCTCCCTGGAAGAGCAAAAGTTTGAACTTGTATAGCTCATTTTTATTCCAGTGTTTTTATTTTATTTTATTTTTT